AAAAAAAAAAAAAAAAAATAGAATTTGCATTAGCAATGCTATCACCATGACTCTGATACTCTTTGCTGAAGATAAGCAGTAAACAAGGAAGATAAAAATCTTGCCTCAATAAGCTTATATTATAGGGAATAAAGGTTTGCTAATATCCTGATTAGAGAGAAATAAATTTGGAAAGAAAGCCAATGAGAAGGGAGAAGTTGTAATACCACCCAGGAATTAAGCAAAAGGGTGGGCTTCCCAAAACCAGCCCTGTGTCTAGGAACTCACCTATACTGCTCCTGCTCATAGAGGTCAGCCACAATCATCAGCAAGCGGCTGATGAAGGACTCGCTGCTGCTTTCCTTGCTTGCTTGCGCAGCCAAAAGAGTGCACCTCTTCTCTGTCTCTGCCAGTTTCTTCTGCAGCTTGACATACTCTTGTCGGAGAAGCATCAAGTGCTTCTCCAACTTGGCCACTTCCTCTGCAAGGGAAACAAAGAATCAAGTTTATCACGGCAGGTGTCAAACAAATAGCATTCACTATTCCCTCACACCACAGATAGGAAAGCCACCAAAGTGACTATCCACATGATGTTTCTACTATTTTGGTAAGAGTCTTATAGGATCAAGAATAGCTTTGATTCAGAGTGCTGGTACTGGGTGAAGACGACTATCATGATACAGAATTTCTCCTCTCAGAAGCTCCATATGCAGTATGTAACAAAGAGATGTACATAAGGATGCTGACAGCAACTCTGTAAATCCATTACGATAAAGGCAAGAATCTTAAAGAGAATAAAATCACCTAGTTTTTGAAAACACTAATAGTAATAACTAATTTTTTTTTTGAGACAGAGTTTCACTATGCTGCCCCATAGAGTGCCTTGGCATCACAGCTCACAGCAACCTCCAACTCTTGGGCTTAAGTAATTCTCTTGCCTCAGCCTCCCAAATAGCTGGGACTACAGGCACCTGCCACAATGCCCAGCTATTTTTTGGTTGTAGTTGTCATAGCTATTTGGCAGGCCCGGGCTGAGTTTGAACCCGCCAGCTCTGGTGTATGTGGCTGGCGCCTTAGCTGCTGAGTTACATGCACCGAGCCATAACTAATTTTTACAGTCACATGTCCTTCTAAAAGCTTTATATGAGTTCTCTCACGTAATCTTCATTAACAGCCTTACAAGATAGATCTAGGCTCGGCACCTGTGGCTCAAGTGGCTAAGGTGCCAGCCACATACACCTAAGGTGGCGGGTTCGAATCCCCAGCCCAGACCTGCCAAACAACAATGATGGCTGCAACCAAAAAATAGCCTGGTGTTGTGGCGGGCGCCTGTGGTCCCAGCTACTTGGGAGGCGGAGGCAAGAGACTGGCTTGAGCCCAGGAGTTGGAGGTTGCTGTGAGCTGTGATGCCACGGCACTCTACCCAGGGGGACAGCTTGAGGCTCTGTCTCAAAAAAAAAAAAAAAAAAAAAGATAGATCGAATTATATAATAGTCACACTTTATAGATAGGTATATTTGGACACAGAGACATTACAAATTTGCTCAAGATCATAGAGCCAGTGAGAGGTACGGCTAGGTTAGGAGCCCAGGTATTCTTATTCCAGGGCCTGTGATCTCATTAGCCACTACCTATACTACCTAACACTGCCCTCACTCAGGCAAAGATCAGGGCAGCCAGTAACAGTTCAGATGGAAGTGAGTCATATTCCACAGGTGTGCTGGGAAAAAGATTGAGAACCTCTATATTTGATAAATTAAATTCAACAAACATTTACCAAGTATCTACTGGGCACCAAAGTGCACAATGGAAGCAGTGCAAAAGCAGATATATCTTCCTCAGAGCTTTTAGTTACTGGGAAAAATGAACATAAATCAAATGAATTTTATTGTATTTTGTAATTTAACAATTGCAACAATTAAATGTAAAACTACAATTCTACTTTAAAGTGCTACAAGGGAAAAAAGAGCTATGAGAGCTTATAGGGAAATCTAATTGGCCAAATGCAATGGCTTATGCCTGTAACCCTAGCACTTAGGGAGGCCAAGGCAGAAGGATCACTTGAGACCAGGAGTGCAAGATAAGACTAAGTAAGGGTAAGAGCCTGTCTCTACAAACAGAAAAAAATTAGCCAGGCATGACAGGGCTCGCTGGAAGGGAGGGAGGGAGTGAAGAAGGAAGGTAGGGAGTAAAGGAAGGGAGGGAAGAAGGGATGGAGGAAGGAAGGGAGGGAGGGAGGAAGGGAGGGAGAGAGGGAGAAAAGATTTAATTTAGGAGGTCAGGGAAGGCTTCTCTGAAGAAGTAAACAGTTCCAAAACGTCTCTCTTCCTTTACCTGGAGCTTGCATCTTAATGGGGGAATGGGACGGGGAATTCATGTAACCCTGCAAATAGGCACCTTTATAAATCAAGGTCTTTAACTATGGGTCCACAGTGCTGCTACAGTCATCCTCTAGACCAGCGATTCTCAACCTTCTTAATGCCATGATGTATTTTCATTGTTACAAAGGGGTCAAGACCCACAGGTTGCGAACCGCTGCTCTAGACCTTAGTCCCTTCTCTCCTCCTATTCCCCATGATAGACATTCCAAATCATGGCACTGCTGTCAAATCTATCTACCACTCAAACTGCCTCATTCTCAGCCAACAATCAGAGAAAAATGAGCTACTGCCAGCAATTACTCACACTACCCCAGGCTTCCTCAGAAAAAGTATCCCCTCTTACCCAACTATAATCATTCCATCTAGGCTCCAAATCATGTCCCTCTCCCCTGATCCTCAGGACCTCTGCTTTATCATCAACCTCCCTCCTCCAGCAACTTTAGTCTTTCAACTGGATGCCCAGCACATAACTGGTTCAACTCTCTATCTATTAAAATCCCCTGTCGAGGTTTAGCCCCTGTAGCACAGTGGTTACAGCACCGGCCACAAACACCAAGACTGGCAGGTTCAAACCTGGCCCAGGCCAGCTAAACAATGACAACTGCAACAAAAAAACAGCTGGGTGTTGTGGCAGGCACCTATAGTCCCAGCTACCTGGGAGGCTGAGGCAAGAGAATAGCTTAAGCCCAAGAGTTTGAGGTTGCTGTGAGCTGTAACGCCATAGCACTCTACCCAGGGTGACACAGTAAGACTGTGTCTCAAAAAAAAAAATAAAAAATGCCCTGTCCAGGCCTAGCACGATGGCTCATGCCTGTAATCTCAGCACTCTGGAAGGCTGAGACAGGTGGACTGCCTGAGCTCACCGGTTCCAGACCAGCCTGAGCAAGAGCAAGACCACTCTCTACTAAAAATAGAAAAGCTGAGGCAAGAGGATTACTTTAGCCCAAGAGTTTGAGGTTGCTATGTGCTGTGAAACACCACAGCATTCTACCAGCAGCAACAAAGTGAGACTCTGTCTCAAAAAAAAAATTTATGTATAGCAAATACATAAACAAAATTTTTTAAAAATCCCCTGTCCAGGCTCGGCGCCTATGGCTCAACTGGGTAAGGCGCCAGCCGTATACACCTAAGGTGGCGGGTTCAAAGCCAGCCCAGGCCCGCCAAAACAACAATGACGGCTGCAACCAAAAAATAGCTGGGCGCTGTGGCAGGCACCTGTAGTCCCAGCTACTTGGGAGGCTGAGGCAGGAGACTCGCTTGAACCCAGGAGTTGGAGGTTGCTGTGAGCTGTGATGCCACAG